GCAGGATTTTTTCCAGCTGGAATCCTGTTCAAGTGCAGTTGAGCTACTCTCACATGTGAGTTTGAGGTTTGAAAAAAAAAAAAAAAAAACTCCAACATTCCTTTTGGAATCTTCTATAAAGCTTGTTTCATGGTGAGATTCTTGGCACAGACGGACGGTTTGTAAAACTGTCACGGACTTTATTAGTTGAGACAGGTGACTAGTACTGTTCCAAATCATTGTACTGCATATAGTACTAACTGACTATTTATCTAAATATTAGAACTGGATCTGTCAAGCAGTTGATTTAAAAAATCTGATCTAATCTAATTAATCGTGATTAATTTTTTTACAATTAACACAGAGACAAATGCCACCAGGTCGACACACACTATATGACTAATCCAAATGATGGAATATCATAATACAATATGTGGAAAATGTGTGAATCTTGACAGCATGGAGTGAAGCCGATGTCCTCAACAATACGACTGCCCTGCAGACCCTCACAATCTGTTTGACAGTCGTGTGTAGTTCCTCTTTATACACACAGCTGACCCGCTCACACCCTCAGTGACTCCCTGGGTCACTGTGTGCTCGTCAGCCGGTCCCTGTTAGGAACTGCCTCAGACTCACAGTATGCTCCTCACAACAGTTAATCCTCTGTGGATGGATATGTAAATCTGTTACTGCAACAATCCTGGGTGTTCAGGATGAACTGATGTGCATTTTGTTTATGATTAGTCAAGGGATGGAAGATGATGCGGGGGTCGGGGGGGAGGGGGCATATAGACCTTACACAATCCTCCCAACACATGGGAATACACAGTGTAATCCCCAGAGAGCACACACACCATAGCCCATATAATGTGTCCATACAAACAGCAGCATTAGTCCCAGTATCAGCAGCTACTGGTACACATTACTGTGACGCTGCACCAGTAAATCCCACTCTGTGTCTAATCTCTCTATTTTCTCTGTGTGTTTGCATTTCTCATTTTCACCTCATGCCCTGAATCCCAAGGAGAGGTCAAGGTCAGAATTCACTATGACCTCTGGTCTATTTTTAGTAACAGATTATTCTTAACCTATCAGTTGAATTTATGATTACACATAGACAGATACAAAAGGCTTCAAGCTAATAACTATGCTACATCACATAGATTATTTTAGTGATTTCTAAATTACTGACAAAAGAAAACGCTGAAAAAATAATGTATTCATACCCGTACGCACTTCAGCCCAGTAGGTGGCGTTAATGAAGATGCACAGGATACATTTAGTAACATCAGCGCCACAAGAAAATTCATAACTTTGCTCATCATGTCAAGCATTGTTATCTGATAAAAATCAATGTTTGACAACATGTACATCTCCTACACTTTATATTAACTCTGCCTCCTAATGTCTTTATTTGAGCACTGCAGTGATTTAAGAAGACTTTATAGCGTTGGCTGCCGACCATGAATCCCCAGAGCAACACACCCCAGAGCAACTTCTGATAAAGGCTCAATCAATGGACCTCCACACCTCCAACATCACCATACAACACTGAATATTTCATGCAGCTGTAAAGTGATCACTGACACCAACCACTCAGTCCTGATGCTAATTCAACACAATCTTCCACTACAGGAGTCTGTGATTGACTGCAGAATTAGACCTTTGACCTGGGTCATCATCTCTCGTCAGCAAACGTCTTGTTGCCAGTAGTTTTTTTTTTTTGTTTTATGATAATATCCCACCGACTGCCTCCCACACATGCAAATTCCTAAACTGCAGAAGAGCTGAACATAATTCGTGTTGCATTGATTTGAAATTTCATCTTGTGGTAAACATTAGAGCCTTAGGCCTGGCCATAGATCCCTCTGTATGAACTGATGCTGGAGGTAGCAATCAGGCATATCCACGGAGATAAATAAGCGGTGAAGCAGTAGACGCAGAGTCGGACACAAACACACTTCATATGGATACACACATCGTGTTGTTGAACAGGAACACGGGCGATATTCCCGTCAGCCTCGACCAGCTTTTCACCGACACGTCTGCTGAGCTGCTGATGACAGACAAGCTCACTCTGACACAAATCATCACAGAGAAGAGGTTTTATCTTCCAATCTTTTATCGGCTCCCCCTGTCTGTCACTCTGAAGGGTACTGTGACTCTTGTACAATTGCTGTTCACTCATACCCTCAGTCACACTCACCTTAACACTTACACCGCTGCAGAACCACTTATTTACACCGCGTCTTCACAGCTGGTTTTGTTATGCCATGGTAAAAAAACTGCTGCTAATATACAGGTTTAAATATGAATAATTGTTTACATTAGTCAGTCTGTTAAATTGTCATTTTAATTGGATGCATTAGTAAATTAAAGCAGGTCAGAAAACAGGAAGCAGGGTCTGATGTTTGACATCATTGTGAAAGCATTAACAAATACGTCCAATCACATACATATACAATACAGTGTCTAACCTTGACCAGTGAAAGTTTTGTTGAGTATTCACACGTACAGACATCTTTCTTTTTGGCATGATTTAAAAATCCAGAAATAGTGAACAGATTGATTCCTCACTGTTTCTGTTACCAGCATGTGTCATCATTCTGTGTGTGTGTGAGTGAGATGGTGAAAATATAGTAGTGTGTATGCAGAGCCTGTGTCGCAGCTGTTCTAGTGCCCCCCACCCCATCCCCATCTCCCTCCTCCATCTTACATCTTTCTCTAATATAACCCTCCACTGTGCAGGTCTAAGCCCATGGAAAAGCAGTAAATCTGCCAAGTCAGCACAAAGTGAGTCCATACAGGCGTACAGCTCAGCTTCATCACTTCATACAATCTCACTCACTCAAACTCGCACACACACACACTCATTCCAAAGTATGTCCGCTGAAGCCTGATCACACACCGCTGCAGATAAAAGGTCTTTCTATTGTCAAGGTCACTCAGGAATGAAGGAGATACAGTATATGTGCAGGTAACGGAGGCCAACGTGGTTTCATTCATGAACAGACACAACAGCAGCAGTTTGTGAAAATACCAGTGTTTTGAGGACACAGGAGTAAAATTAGAGTTAGTGTTGGGGAGGCTGGAAGATATATATAGATATAGATATATATATATATACAGATAGATAGATAGATAGATGGATGGATGGATGGATGGATGGATGGATGGATGGATGGATGGATGGATGGATGGATGGATGGATGGATGGATGGATGGATGGATGGATGGATGGATGGATGGATGGATGGATGGATGGATGGATGGATGGATGGATGGATGGATGGATGGATAGATAGATAGATAGATAGATAGATAGATAGATAGATAGATAGATAGACCTGCCTTTTTCTGGTCTTAATATCATCTGTTCATAATTAGTTTTCACATCATTAACCTTCCAACATGAATTTTCCTCACTTGAAACGACTTAGATCGGCAGCTACTCACTCCTCATGGTTTTATTATGAACTGCATGTCAGATATTTACATAACATATTCAATTATTTATGTCATTTAGATGTGTTGACCTACTTTTCACCTAGAGAACACACTTTCACCGCATATTGTATTTGGCTGCATTAACTGCAAATTAAACACATTTAAAAACATTGTGAATGTCCTGGAAAACCGTAATGGAAAGATCAGGAAAATGACAGGGAATTCTTCAAATGTGATATTTGGGATCTTTTTGAACTCACTATATTTACGTATATGCCGGCTGTGGTTCTTCTACACAGACCGTGTCAGTGCAGCACGACAGAGGAGATTGAAACATGAGCAGAATATTCACATATCTCATATTGAACTTCGTATGTGTCAAATATACACGGATATAACATATAAATGTTATGTTGCTAAGCAACAACAAGGATCTTATTGGATTAGTTGAGATAATTATTTTAGCGACATCATAGTCCTGAGCATTTCTGTTTACATGCTAGTTAGGAAGAGCTCAGCGTTAGCCTTTAGCTATCGGAGCTTAGCCATTAATTCTGTAAGTCGAAATACTTTTACCAGAAATTGTCAAAACCCAGTCCTCTATTATTGTTGGTTGTTCTTTTTTGAAAGACAAAACATATCATGACATCAAATGTTAAATATTATATCATATAACAAAAAAGTTACTGTCAAATGGAGAAAAAGTCATCAGTATGCCATTGTTTGACCTCAGAATCTTCTGGATGTTATTGAGTTTTTCCACAGCAGCCATTATGGACCGTCATTAAAGAGACCTTGATATTGGCTCATCTGTATTAAGGTGCTTTGTGGGCCACCTTTTATTTCTCTCCCTTTTCATCAGCACAGTATCTTTTATCTCCTGCTTTACACGGTGAAAATGAAAAACACCATTAATCCCCTCCGTTTACTGAATGGCAACGAGAGGATCAAGGCGCCAGGAATCGATTCAACAGAGCGTGGTATTTCTTTTTTTTTTTTTTTTGATATGTCAAAGAATAAGACGAAGAGGTTGCCTTGTTTTGTTAGTGGTTTTGGCTGCGTAGGTAACTGAAGCTGAAGTCTGAACTACGCCTGAGGTATGAAGTGAAAGACGGAATAAAAGTGAAAAGTAGCAGAAAGGAAATTCAACAAGGTTTTTTTAGTAAAGAAAAAAATACAGTTATAGTGCATACAGAAGAAGAGGAAATCACTGGTAATTCAATGGGTGAAAGAAGCCACTTTTTTTCCCGTTATCCCCCTTCCTCCTCTTGTCCATATAGCTCTTGACTTATGCATCAGACTGTGTCCCAGAGAAGGACACTGAGATAAGTTTAACACAGAGAGGTTTGATAAACACAAAAGACAAAAACAACACATTTATTAAATCAAGCTGGGTGACAGCAAGGTCGTAGTGAGTTCTAATGTGTTTGATTATTATGGAACAATAAATGACAAATAGTTCGGTACATTACATTACAGTACAGTACAGTACAGTACAGTACAGTACAGTACGGCTTCAGTCATAAACTACTCTGATGTCGTATTCAGTGTCTGTTGTCTTCCCTGTCTTTCAGGCAGACCCGGGATCAGGAAACACCGCCGGACTTTTTCTACTTCTCCGATTTCGAGAGGCACAATGCTGAGATTGCTGCTTTTCACTTGGACAGGTGGGTTTTCACCACCGCCCCAACTACCACGACCACAAAAACACTTTGTGCTGAGACCCTTGATATTTCCTGTCACGGCTGCAGTTTTAAAATCACACTGTCATTTCACCTGACATGTTGACTGTTTTTTCAAAACTGTTTCCAACAAGCTAACCCAGTACTCAACAAGAGAAACTGACTAAGGCTAAGTGTGAAATCAAATCAGAACAGTTCCCTGATGAGCTAAGGGACTAAATCACAACTGGAGGCTAAGTGTGATTCAAACGTCTCACTGAAATAACCAAATCAGAACAGTTCCCTGATTGAACTATGATGGAAAAATCTGAGATTTGACTGAAAACCTGAGATATGAAGTTGTCTAATGGGATAAAACTGTATTTTAATATTTTTTTCATTATGTACAGACCATGAAAAAATCTACTAAAAAGTCCGCAGAGGAAATGTTGCTGCTTTCTACTAAAGCGTTCTCTTCTTTAACAGCGAACTCTCTGACCGTCTGCTCTGCTGTGAACTCCTGATGACTCAGGAGTGTGTAATAGGCTAAATGCACACCACCAGTCACCTGAGTGTCCTCTCTCAGACAAATGCGTGCACACACACGCACACATCAACAGGTAGTCCATTGTCATCAGGGCTCAACATGACGGTGCACTATTCAGCTCCTGAATGCTGTCCTCTGAAGGCTAAAGTTTCGCCAACTCTCCTGCAGCCCAGTCAGTCAGTCTGTGTGTCTGTCTGCTCCCAGGAGTCTTAGCTTTAGTCTCAAACTGGTCGGGGTCATTTGGACAAAAATCACAGGGGGGAGACGGTCTAAACAGGGTCTGTGCGGGTATCATGTTCTTACATGGGACCATATGGAAAGAACAAGTGAGCAGGAAGTTAAACAGTTCTTCACTGTCTGAGTAGAAGCACAGGGGTAGATTTGTTTTGATGAAAAAAGATGTTGACTGTATAAAAATGTAGTTCATTAACTAATGCAAAAAAAAAGAAATCTGATCTTAAATAAAAAATTATCATCTATGTGTTTTTTGCCTCAGGATACTTGATTTCCGAAGAGTGCCCCCAGTGGCAGGACGACTAGTGAACATGACAAGAGAAATCAGAGACGTGACAAGGGACAAGAAGCTGTGGAGGACGTTCTTCATCTCACCAGGTAGTGAGACGTTCACTGTTACAGCTGCATTATATAGAAAAAGACGAAGGTAAATGCACAGAGCAAAACCAAAAATGCGAAAAGAACCATTTTCACTTCACATAAATTTAAAAATGAACCGTTTCACAAATGTATGATATATTTCATCTAAGTGTTTCATGTTCACGTCAACATTCAGCATTCAACCAGTGATACCACATTTCACCACTAGATGGCAGGGAAACCCATGTTACTGACAAGCGCTAGAACGCAATTAATAATTTACAGATAATTGTTTATCCTTCCACTAATTACAGCTGAGATCAACTTCAACATCTTAAAATCGTCTACAGGACATTTTTAGAAATGAAATTATATTAACTTTGTAAAGTCATTGTAAATGAATATAGTTTGCTCCAAGGTCACGTTCTCTTTGACTTTTAATTTTCCACTGATGCTTCACTCTTCCCTGTATTTCTGTCCTCAGCCAACAACGTCTGCTTCTACGGTGAATGTTCCTACTACTGCTCCACTGAGCACGCTCTGTGTGGGAAACCAGACCAGATCGAAGGCTCACTCGCAGCCTTCCTGCCAGACCTCAACCTGGCCAAACGCAAAACCTGGAGAAACCCCTGGAGGCGCTCTTACCACAAACGCAAGAAAGCAGAGTGAGGGGGGAAAAAAGAATATGGAAAATATTTCGTATCAGCTGTTATAATTTCCTCCACAAACGCAAGAAAGCAGAGTGAGGGAAAAAATAATATGGAAAATATTTCGTCTCAGCTGTTATATTTTCTCAAATAATCAATCATTTTTTTCCGTGTCCGTAGATGGGAGGTGGACCCAGACTACTGTGATGAGGTGAAGCAGACGCCTCCTTACGACCGCGGCACCCGCCTGCTGGACATCATGGATATGACCATCTTTGACTTTTTAATGGGTAGATGGGCAGACATACTTTTGATAGAAAAAAAAATGTAATGATCTATTATGGGATTTGTACTGTTGGAAATCTTTCTAAACCATATATTCTTTACTGTTTTTACTCTGTGCAGGGAACATGGACCGTCATCATTATGAAACCTTTGAAAAGTTTGGAAACGACACTTTCATCATTCACCTGGACAATGGAAGAGGGTGAAGATTTATATATCTTTGTCACATATCAGAGCTAAACCTTTGACATTAATTTGTATGGAAACAGTTTGAATATTTTTAAGGGTTTGTGACAATGGAAGAGGGTGAAGATTTATATTTATGGTTTCCCTGAGAATCTTTGTCACATATTTTATGATATTAAACTATGTTTATCTTTAAAGTCAATGGCTGGTAAAACCTGATCTCCGTTCCAGGATGAATAATATTTCCTCTATATTTTTCTTTGTTTTTTACACCTGTAGGTTTGGAAAACACTCTCATGATGAGATGTCCATCCTGGTACCACTCAGTCAGTGCTGCAGGTCGGACTTCTTTCAAGCATTTCTTTTTGTAAACGCAAATGTCAGAACACAATGACCTTTGTCTTTCCTAGCTATCACTACTTATTTTATATCTGCACTTATCTTAAAAGATGAGAAATTTAGAGCTAAAGTAAAACATCTTTGTCTTATTTGATGAGTTTAAAATCAAGTGCTTTTCAAACCATTTACAGAGTGAAGAAGTCGACCTACCTGCGGCTCCAGCTGCTGGTCAAAGAGGAGTACAGGCTCAGTTCCCTGATGGAGGAGTCTCTGCTGCGTGACCGTCTGTCCCCCGTCCTCATCCAGCCCCACCTCCAGGCCATGGACCGCCGTCTCCGACTAGTGCTGCAGGTCATCGAGGGCTGCCTGGACAAAGAGGGATATGACAATGTTGTGGAGGACGACTTAGTTGGAGACACATCCACCCACAGGAGCGGGGGTCAAAGGTAGTGAGGGCGGAGCCTATGGTTGACCGGGACCACCAGTAACACATGAACAAGGACCACGTCGGCGGACGTCCGACAATAGGATTGGACCAAATGTCCCACCTCTGATGAATTCAGTGAATTCCCAAGACTTGCCATCATTGCCTCTAAGGAACCTGCTGATTTATGTGTGTTGTTTCTAGAAGACACTGTCCACAGACACAGTGGACGACTGGACAGACTGGAGTGGACACTTTGTATTTGTTAGATACAGATATATTTTTGTTTTACCAGATGTTGTTTAAGACACAAAGGAACCATGGCTGTGTTCTGGTTTTGTTGTGTTGTGTTGTTGTGTTGGTAAAAACCAAAAGAGAACCTACACTGACTGGACATCTCTATGGCCAGACGATAAGCTTTACCTGTTCTTACAGCATATGGACTGGATAAGGACACATGTCCAAGTTTAGGGATATTGTTTGTTTTGTTTTTGTCGTCTTAGAAAATAATACTTTTTACAAAATGCAGCCAAATTCATGAACCTTCAAGTCTGGTACATATATAAAAAAAGTTTGATGTTTTTTTAGATTTTAAAATGGGGCCAAGCTTAAATGTTATTGTACGTCAGACTTTACAATGTCTTCAGTCTCAGTTCAAACATATTGTTCACTTCAGGTCCGAACATGCCATCACTTTGCCTTTTTCCACTTGTTATTCTTGTTTTCTTATTTAACACTACGTGCAGTCAAACACCATGTGACAAAACTATTTTACAAACCAAAAGGACGGAGCTGTTACAGACATTAATAATCCAACCTGAGGCCTGAAGCATTTATTGTCGTCCCACATGTCAGTCGTAGAAATGAAACATATTCCGAGTTGTATGTTGTTTTTATTTCACGAGATTTGAAGAATTATTTATTGTCGCACTTCAGTGAGTGAAAGTGTTTTGATCATTTCTCAGCTACAGTTTTGCCTCATGTTGCTTTTTATGTTAAACTATAGATAAGATGTTAAGTATTTGGATAATATTTTTGAATCTGGCTGTTATTTTCATTAGAAGGAGGAAAAAAAACTGACTTATTTTCATTAGAAGGAGGAAAAAAAAAACTAGGCTGAATTTAGGTTGTCTTAGTGGTGCCAGTGCAATCTTCAGTTTCCTGAGCGTCCTGTGTTTGGGCTAACCCAGTATCTGTGCAATGACAGAAAAGGAGTACTTGAATGTTTTGGGGTTGGCAGGTGGACAGGAGACGTAGACAGTAATCTGGGATCCACAGTCAGGTGTGTCTGGAGTTGGACGGAGGGGTTAAAGGCCACTCGTCCCCCCACAGAGGTAAACAAGGCACTGTTTTCATATTCTCAGTGTAAATACCTACAAATACTAAAGACCGACCAACTTGCACCGCACAGTGATTTGCTTTTGTTTTTCTGCTGTTGCATTGTTACTGTGAAGATCTGTTTACTAAATGATTAAAGTGTGCAATAAAAACCAAACGTGAGGATAAATCTCTGTTGACATTGATGGTCTTTTCAGCCGAGGTGACGAGCTCATACTCATCCATCATCCATGGTGCGTGAGAAATTCCATCGATTTAAAGAATCCGCATCATACTGTATATGAGGCTGGATAAACCGGCCCTGGCGCTGTCCGTGGTGCTGAGTGACAACAATGGCGTCGCCCTAAAAACGCTGTCCGTGGTGCTGAAGAAAATATTACTTGTAAATCGATATCTTTTCAATGTTGGGCACTAATACCGCCACACTTATAATGCGGCGTAATTAAATGACAAAGTAATGGAATGTTTTTATTCATAAATTGTGAATTGATCTTTTGTAACATTTAAAATGATTGGTCGTGTCACGATGGTCACGAACAGCTGACAGCTGACAAATTCAGCCTCACGTTTGAACGTTTACTGCCGTTCCTTCCCCAGAAGATGGCGCTCGTGAGGTACTTTTACGACGTTGCAGGTCAAGAACAACATGCAACTTCGGCAAAAATACACAAGGTGGCACTAAAGCCAAGGTGGTCACGTTTAGGCGGTTCATACCTGTTACAGATGTGACGCAAAGTCGTAATAAATTAATTTAAATCACTTTGCTTATTGAGTCAGGACTTTTTAGCAAAAAAAAAAAAAAGATTAAATTACTTCAATACATAATGTAAATGTGTTTCGCACCACACATGAATGGTAAAGTGTTGGTAAAACGTTAGTAAATAACTGAAAGAAAATGTCATTTATTTTTAGTTTAATGTACAAATACGACACATTAAAATTCCTCACTATGATGACGATGATAAATTCCTTCATTATGGAATTATTTTATTCAACCTTGGCATACAGGATACACTTGATGACGTCACCATCACACGGCCCTGACATTGTTTACCTTCCACAGCGGATGTTCACACCTCTCACCCCATTCAGCACCAGTCTCGCCTGCCTAGTAACAGTAACTAACACCACTGTCCTCCTGTAACTATGGCAACACAGAGCAACCACCTCTTCGCTCAGCCTCCCACTGATCTGAAGACGTGTGTGCATGTGTCCTTGGCGACCCTGACCTTTAACACCATCACCACTGCCGCCACCAGCAAACTTGGACAACGCCCGAGTTGACATACATGGAGTTTTTCTAAAAATGTGTGACTGTTTAAGTAAGTCCAAAAAAAACGTCTCAAAAGAAATGTCTCAGCAAACACGCACTGAATTTTGCAGATCTAACATTACAAAATTCAATAAACATCTGTTCGGTAATGTATTTTAATCACCACACAATAAAACCAAAAAATTGCCTCATTGACAGACCTAATTCTATTCATTAAATATAACCTAATTAAACGTAAGCCACAGTACAGTTCTGAAAAGTTTTTCTGCTGATCACAGACTCTTGACTTTTGATGAGGCTTTTTAATAATTTGATAACTGAAGATGTGTCAGATTTGTTCATATTCTCTAATGACAGGCCAAACATCATAAATCATAATCATGAATACAGTATCTTGTCCACTCAGGCGAACCAAAAGTGTGCAGAACTTCCAGAGTAAGAGTTAGGGTTAAAAATAATGAAACTACGGCCCGCGGCCTTGATACGGCCTACTGGCTCGCCAAACACTAGTACAAGGCATGGAAAAGACTGATGTCAATCATTCTGATTCATGCATTACAACAAATACACTGTGATTCCTGTCGATGCCACTAGATGGTGACAGACATTAAATGTGCCAAATTATTTTTGGCACATTTAATTTGTTTTCGTTATTTTTATTTATATTATATCATCCAACATTCCACCTCCAACCAACACTGAACCGGCCACACAGTCAAATTTTGAACCTCTTTTTGTTCCGTGAGCGACAAAGTTAGACCACCTCTGCACTAGACGATAGACCAACCCACAGGGCCTCATATGCTGTATATATGTGCTGCCCGTACAGAATATTTCAGCTTTCAATTGTACTCTTCAATAACACACAGTCTGGTGAATGACTCTCCCCGGTACCAGCGTCTGTGTTCTGATTGTGATGAGAGAGGCTTTGAAACGCTGCTCCAGATGCAGTGGTTTTTAACACCTGTCTGTCTCGATTGATGTCTGCGCTGCAGGCAGAATCACGACTCACTCATTGATCAAAACTAACGTGTCCCTGTGAGGAGAGCTCCCCCTGGCTCAGGGGCGCAGAAACGTCGAACCGGAGCCCTAACCTGCGCGTTAGTGGTGATATCGACCTGCAAGTTTAGTTGACACGTGTTTTAGTCTTACTTTGACGAACTAAAATGTCACTGTGAGTTATATATATATATATGTGTGTGTGTGTGTGTGTGTTAAGAGTTAAGATTGGCAGCTCTGTGTCTGAACTCATGAATAATTAAAAGACGACTTTGCGCGGATGCAGCTAAAATTGGTAATGACCTATAATTAGAATGCATCAGCGTCCATTTATGAGGTGACGTTGAAGATTTTGTCTTGGTGCGTGTGTTTCCGCGCGCGTGTCCACACTAAGCCTGTATATGGCGACAGAGATAAAACTCCCCCGGTCTGTCGTCAAGGTCAGGTGGAGGCGCATCCTTTCGCGTCAGGACCACCGGGAGAGAAATTAAACTCCAAATCAATCGCCCTTGAACCGCCGCGAGTGTGTGAGAGCGTGCGCGCGCGCGCGCGTCTCATCGACTTACTGGCAGCGAACGCAGACGAGAATCTGTTTAGGTGCAGAGAGGGGGGAAACAGACGATGATGTGTGTGCGTGTGTGTGATCGCTATGACGCATCTGTGCGTCCCATCTCGCGTGTGTGTGCGCGCGTGTGTGCGTGTGTGCCTGCCTGCTGCGTGCCAAGAGCAATCACGGGCCATTGACATAATTGCACATCCCGCAATATGTACGGCGGGAGGAGGAAGAGGAGGAGGAAGCGCTTGTAAATGCGAAGGAACAGCCTGAGCTGCACAGGAGAGACGCAGGAGGAGAAAGGAAGGCGACGCTCGGGAGGCTCCGTGCGCTGCGACAGCCTCTGGAGGAGAACCAGGAGGAGAGGAGGAGGAGAGCGGAGAAAAGAGGAGAGGAGAGAGGATGATAATTATTGACGCGCGCCTGGACGTGCTGCCAGCAGCCCCTCATCTGTCACTCAAGTGGAGAGAGCGGAGAAAGAGGGGAGAGAGAGAGAGGAGGAGATGACTGAATGGGAGGAGAGTCACACGTCCCCTCCCCTCCCCCTCCGCCTTTCCTCTCCCCCCTTCCCTCCCTCACTCCTTATTTTCATTCATGACACAATCAGCGACACACACTCTCTCTCTCCCTCTCTCTCTCTCACACACACACACACTCACATATCTCCCCCACGCAGCTCCTGGCTCAGTCCCTCTCCATCAAAAAGACGGCTCTCTCCCTGTGTCTCACCGTCTCTCTGCCCTTCACTCTGTCTGTCTCAATGGCCAAAAAAGGGAGAAAACAAAACCGCCGCACAGAGGCAGCTACAGCAGGAACACTTGCTGTCTTTAGCCTTCTACGAGCACGTGCGCGTACACAAACGCACTAACGCACACACCTTAACTAGTTCGTGTCCTTTACCCTAACTTTACCATAATTCACACCTTCATCCTCAGCCTCATTAAGACCAGGATTTCTGCTCCAAAATAATCAACAACATAAGTCTGGGTAGAAAACACCCTGACAACAGTCGCGGGTTAGAATACTGCTGACATCACAGGACCTTTCAGTCTTAACATGAAGCTCTTGATTCCTCAACCTTGAGGTTCATCTGATTTGAATTCACACCATGATTTCCGTTTTTAGCAGAGTCTTGGGAATGATGCTGTGTCCTGTTAACATCAGGTTCATTATACTGAGATAATGAATAACAGTGACCAGGAAGTCGTAAACATGTGATTAAAAACAAACAAACAAACACACACACACACCGGCTTCTGAGAGAAACGAGGTTTGACTTAAATTCATCCGTTCATTTTGAGGACTCTGAGCTCAAACCTCCAAACATCCACGTTGACCTTATTAGAACCAGAGAACCAAAAACTGGTCCACAGATGCAAGCACACCTTATTTTTATCTCCCCCCCACAGTGCAGACACACAACACACAGTGGTGTGTGGGGAGTGCACCACCCAGTCAGTGAGACAGTTAGAGAGTGAGACAGGGACGGAGGGACGGAGGAAGAGCGAAGAACACAGGAGGAAAATACTGGTCCCAGACCAATCACTTCATCTTCCTCATCAGTTCATCAGCAAACATCTCCCCCGTCTGTCTGTCTGTCTGTCTGTCTGTCTGTCTGTCACCACACACACACACACACAGATCACAGTCTGTGCAATGGCAGCGCTCGATGGCATCACTCCAGTCCACACCGTCACCCCCATCTGCTCTTCCTCACACTCACATTAGCGTGTGGTGGCGCTAATGTGAGTGTGATGCAGGGACAGGCTGCTAGACTCCCCAGAACAGGAAGGACGAGACACCCCAACACCCATCACCCCAAAACACCCACCTCCACCCCCCCACCACCCCAAAGCTAATTCCATTATACACTCCCGATTGGATAGACACGGGGCTGTCTTCTAATTGCTTTTTTATCCATTGCTTTTTTATCCCCCGGAGTCCCCCCCCCTCACACTCTCGTCTTCTTCCTCCCTTCCCCTCCATCACCTCACCACCAACATCTCCTTCCTCCCCCTTCTCCTCCTTCCAGCCCGCCCCTCACCCTGTGTGCTCTCAACATGGCAGCAGACAAGCAGAGGAGGGAGGCGAGCTAACATAAGAGAGAGAGAGAGAGAGAGGGAGAGAGGGAGAGGGCGAGAGAGGAGTAAGAGAGAGAGAGAGAGGGGAAAGATAGAGAGAGAGAGGGAGGCAGGCGGACTGCTGCCATCAAGGACTACTGGTGCCATTTTCAGCATCACAGAGAAAAAGGATAGAGCGGCTCGGCTCGGCTCGGCTCGGCTCACCTCTGCTCACAGCTGCTTGAGTGGTGGGACTGGAGGGACAACACAGGAGAGGAGGGACCAGCCTGCCCCTGACTCAGGTACCACGCTATTCCCTCTCACTTCTTTTCATTTGGTGGAGTTAAATATGAGCCGGGCAGCGACAGAGTGCAGATGAAAGTCAGAGCAGGAGGCAATGGAAGAAGGGGGCGTGTGCCGTTTGTCAGGGAGTGCATCTGTGTCTGTGGGTGAACGCCAGCCAGAGGACAGCAGGCTCACTCATGGGACTGTGTTCTATTTTCATTTGTTGGTAGAGCTTTTGCCTCCCACACTCACAACACAAACACACACACGCACACACACACTTCCAACCCCAAACTCTTGTCTTCACCCCTGCAGCATCTGTCCAAACAACAGGCAGAGCAAATGAGAACAAACAGTCTTTCTGCCTGGAAAACACGCGGCGACCCTGCTGTGCCTGCATGTGCTGGAACCTCGCTCTCTACAGTTTGTTGCTTTCCTTCGTGGCTGTGATGAGCAGCCAGAGACTTGTGTGTTGTGTGTGTTATGCCGAGCTGTAACAGGGGAGCTGTGTGGAGGGACTGGTGTGTTTACTTTGTCTATTGCATAAGGACGAACCTGGAACACAAACACACAAGCGCACAAACTCAGAAATTCAGATTCTACTACTCCGTGTCGGCTCTGGATCAGTTCAGTTCACTGTTAGAGGTGACGTGGTGTGTGTGTGTGTGTGTGTGTGTGGTTTACCACATGTGTACTGGGCATAAACATGTGATGAGCGTCACACAGACGAACGTAAACGGTCCAATTTGTGTTGACGTGTTTCTGTCGCTCACATTTGTTGCACTTTTTTTTTTATATCTTTTATTAGTGGTTTTCAGCACCATTAAAAGTGCCACTAAAGGATCGACTGAGACTGCAGTGTCACCTGCTGCTGCTGCTGAGCTGAAACTGATGCTCCCAACAACCTTGCTCCACTCTGTGGAGAGGGAAGGAGAGGAAGAGTAAGAAAAAAGAGGAGAGAGAGAGAAGGGAGGTGGGGAGTAGTGCTGAGAGGTGTCACAGAGCAGGGAGAGGAGTAGAAAAAAAAACTAGAGCAACAGAGGCACAGCCAGCAGTGTGTGTGTATCTGTGTGTGTGTGTGTGTGTGTGTGTGTGTGTGTGTGCTGGAGAGAGGGACAGAGAGTGCAACAGGGAGGAGGTGGTGAGGAGATAACACAGAGAGGTGTCAGGGACAGAAAACAGAGGTGAGAGGATGGTGGTGTTGACTGTGTGTGTGTGTGTGTGTGTGTGTCTGTGTGTGTGTGTGTGTGATGTAGGTCTACAGAGACAGGCTGAATGTGCACCAAAGCAAAAGAATCAGAGAAGGGCAGATCAACAGAGGTGAATAGAGAAGATGAACGAAGGGTGAGACACTGAGAGGGTGAGACGTGGCGTTGACAGGTAAACAGCTGCACTGGGACAACCAGCAGGTGTCTCACTGGGACAACCAGCAGGTGTCTCCCTGCTCCTGTGAGCTGTTTGTTAAACATGTTTTCATAGACAAGGACGACAAGGCTCTCTGGGTGGACAGCATGTGCGTGAAAGACTCATGTCTGTAGTTCCAACTAGAGAAGACACACACATGGCAAGATTTCACACACTCACACACACACACACACACACACACCTGCGTACACTCTGAACCTGTCCGTCTTTCTCGCTGACTTTTCCTCCTTCACTCACACGTTGAGGCTCACGTTTGGTTTCCTGCATGATGCAACACAATGAAAGGGTCCTGATTATCATGGTGATTGGGAGACAAGCTGGGAAAACAGCTCCGTGTGTGTGTGTGTGTGAGAGAGAGAGAGAGAGAGTGTGCGTGTGTGTCAGTAAAGGGCATACTGAAATTGGCAAATCATTGCTGTGGTGAAATGAAAGGTGAAAGATCTCCTACGAGCAGCCCGACTTCCTCTCGCTCTCTCTCTCCCCCCCTCTCTCTCTCTCTCTCTGTCTCCCCCTCCCAGACCAAAACAAATATATGAGGTCATAGAGAGGAGAGGAGGAGGAAAACTGTGACAAACAGGCAAAATAATAGACTGGAGAAACGGGTGAATGGCAGAGGTGAGAGGACAGACGACAGGATACGCTTATTGTTCGATTTCAACGGTGTCTCCGACCTTTGGTTAAAACTCTGTTACGACCCAGGGGCCAGGTGGAGCTCCTGTGATCCCTGAAGGTGGAGAACGCAGGAATTGTTCTCTAGTGTTGGTAAACACAGCGCCTGCAGTTACACCGGTTTCACCTGCAGGGTGTGCCATCAGCACAGTCTGACTTCCCTGGTCCGTGAGCAGGGAGCTGATGCCGTTATTGTCTCATTATTGTCTTATTATGTCACTCAGTCAAAACTTTTCAACACAGCAGGTATTAATGTGACGTTCTAGAGAAGTCAGATATAAGACAGAGTTCGTCTGGTTGATCACGACTGGATGAGCCCTGACCAACCCCCCCTACCCCCCGGTAGTGCAGTGTTGAGTGACCTCTGACCTTTGTGCTGTACCATTAAGACTATAATTAACAGCTGTTTTTATATTAACATTACATTAGAAAAAACTGAATTAGGAAACTGATCGTTTTCAACTTCTCATCTTCAAATGTTATGTCACAAAACATATGAAAAATTAGACCTGACACTGGGCCTAAGGTCAAGGAAAAAACAACGAGAATATTTGTTAATTCATTTAATGAAAATATACATTAAGCTTCTTAAAATTCTAGTTTTTACTTGGAGGCAAAAAAGGCGACTTTGAAAAGAAAAAAAAAAAGGAAAATTTTCCTGCTGCTCTGTAAAAAGGTGTCCTTCTCGTAACACCTGTCCAAATTCAACAGCTGGCCTTCAGGCAGGATCACGGACGCCCGACACACACCCTGCACTGGTTTCTCCTTGTAACTTTTAATCTTTGTTCTGTCCTTTGTTTATCGCCACTTTCTTGCTCACCTGCTCCCTATTTTTAACAACATCACCTTCAAGTTTGTGTTTGTGTGCGTGTGCGTGTGTGTTGGTGTGTGTCACCGCCTGCATGCGTGTTTACGAGCATTACAATATAAGCCCCAAGTGCCCACCTAATTGCCCCAGAGGCTCATAGTTATTTACTGTAGGGGATCATTAGGAAACAGCGAGGGGGGGAAGAGGGGAGAGGGGGGGCAAAAATGTCTGTCCTTCATTAAAGAGAAGTGCTGCGAACAGAAGTGGAGCTATAGGAAGAAACTGGACCATCATTAAATGGACACAGGCACACACACATACACGCTCACACTAACAAACACACACACGCTAACTTGGCTGCTAATAAACGGAGGCTTTTTACCTGTGACTCACAGCACTGTGTGCCATTTCTAATCATTTCTTATGTCAATCCCACTTTTTATAAATGGCGTCATTGCTGTTCTTTTTCTTTTTCTTCTTCTTCATCTGGTTTTCAAGGTTAAATGACCACAGACCAGATTTAACCAAGTGCTGGGTCTTCAAAGGCTTTATCAAGACTGGGTGAAAGGTCAAGGGTCAAAGGTCAAACGTATCTTAATGGTCTCGCCATGCAGTTTTAGTCAGGCCTATTTTTTAAGCCTCAAAACATTAATTATCTCGACAAACATTTAATAGAACCAGGACCATAAAGTATTGTAATTTCCATCTTATTATTATCTTTAGTTTGAAGAACTTGTGCTGTTGCCAAATTCAGAACACGATAAATATAATTAAATAAAGTCCATGGACCAATAGATAGACAGATTCAAACCGATGACCTCCTGTTACCATGACGTCAGACTCACTGACTCACGAGCATCACTGACACAATCTAAATCAAAAAGGACAACGCCTTGGTTCAGCGGTGACTGAAGACCACAGAGATTTCTTTTATGCTGTTAATTTTGTAAATTAAGACACTTTAATAATACGCTCTACCTTGGTAACAGTGAGGTTTAGATTCGAGCAGTAGTCTGTTCAGAAATACTGTGAATCTAGGACACCTGTTATCTGCCCAAAAAAAATGTGAAAATAATTCCATCAAAAGATATCATCAGATGAAAACCTGCTGGTGAAGCCGCTAAATATCAAAACTGATTTCACTAGATTTTGAAATATGAAATTCAGTTTCTAAAAATAGCACACACATGTCAGACATATGAGCAGACACACAAGCATGTAAACACATGGCCTGGTGTCCAAGGTCATGCTCACAGCCCTAAGACTGAACAAATACTGCCTTTTACTTCCTCTGAATAAACACAAAATGATAATAAAGTCTCCCCTTTATCTTTACGTGAATCGCTCAATCCAAACTATTTACTTTTGGAGTTTGGTTGGAGTGCGAGGAGTGTGAGAGGGTGAGAACACGCTGTTCCAGTCAACAGTGCACCAAGACTGCTAACCTAGATCTGATTACACACAGCGCTGCTCCTCACATGCAGGTCTCCGTGCATGTGCTGAGGAGAGGGTGTCCACGCACACAGGTCCGAGTCTGGACCCAACGGGGGTCTGGAGGGAGTCAAGACAGCACACGTGAAGGGTGTGTGTGTGTGTGTGTGTGTGTGTGTGTGTGTGTCTGTCTGGAGAGCGAGCGCTGATGTATTCCCCTCCATGAGTGAGGAGCATCAAAGAGAGGGGGGAGGAAGAGGGGGATGATGGAGCAAAGGGGTTACTGCAGGGAAAAGAAGACAGGAGGGGGTGAGGACGACAGATGAAGAAGAGCTCATCTGTATGCTGGTTACTGTGTACTGCCTGTTTGATCTGGAGGGAGTACTTAGTGCTGGATGGTGGGATGCTGCAGAAGGCAAAAATAAGGTGTGTGTGTGTTCGTGTGTGTGTGTTTGTGGGGAGGGGGGCTGAGGGGGTTAGGTGTGAGGTGTTGGATGCAGCACTTTGCTCATTAAAGGGACCTGGCTGTCGTCCAACTCCGTGCAGTTCATCAACTGTCCTTCACGTCTCTCATCCTCTTCCTCCTCCGCTGGCTTCTTATCATCTGTCTTCTTCCTTCCTCTCCTCCTCCTCCTCCTCACCTCCCTCTGTTACTCACTTCCCCGTGTTTACTCCTTCTGCCTT